TAGCTTTCTTTACATATCATACATTCATTCATACAAATCGCAACTTTCGGCAACTTTCAATTCATGTCAAAGGGTCTAAAGACTTTCTACAATCAGATACTGTCATTTTACACTGTGAGTACAACAAATTGACGCCGCAAATACCAAGAAAACAACTTCAAATGGGTACATACGTCACTCTTTCCACTACGAATGCCAAAAGCTTAATTTTAGGCATTTTTTCGCACGTCTTCCGCTACGTGCACAAAATAGTAATGGAGGTTTAATATCATGTGTGTTTACTTCACATGCATGGATTTCTTAATATAGATATAAATAAGTGCTGAAGAACATGCATCATGCCTTGAGTTAGAAATACACATCCCAAAATATTCACCAATTACAATTGCTCATTGACTTTCCAAAAATAATATTTCTGTATAATTATCATTTACAATAGATGACTAAAATAAACGAACGGCAAGCCTTTAAAGCAGAATGTCTATTTAAAAGCCAGGTTACGAGTTCAAGTAACAAGAAACTACACCTTACGAGACGCAGGGAAACGTGTATTTACTTCCCCCTCTGTACGGATTCTTCGAACTTCTAAGAAAACGAAAACCAGCGGGGCTTTGAAATGAAGACCCACGGAGCCCTTACCTTCGTAACGATGACGTAAGTCTCCACCAAACGTTTCTGCTGCAGGCAGCAAACGAACCGAGGAGAAAAGTACTATTAATAGACATGAATAAGCCTCTGTACGGTACCTCTCAAAAGGTTTCTTTTAGCGAAGGTACATTCGCCGATGGATAACATTTCTTTTTATGAAGCTGCGTCCACATTTCTCGGTATATTTTTTTCCTTTCTTTTCCAACCGGTTGGCGACCGAGACCTTCGGCGATGAGGCTCTACGAATCGCTATTCCGCGAACTGTAACGGCGCCTAGCCTTAAGCTCTTCCGAGGCGGCGCGGCGCGGCGCGGCTGACGCGGCGCGCCGTCAACAAACCGGACCTCTCGAGGGATGACGCTGCTTCGCGCGTATGACGTCCGCGTGCTTGTGGTTTTCGCGCTCCGAGTCGCCCGGTTCTCGGAAAGCCACGCGCCCGCGGCGCGCACCTCCCGAAAGGTTGCAGCAAATTGCCAGGAAGTTAAAAACGGGGGCGTGAGGTTTTCGCGGCAGGCAGTCCAAATTATTGCCGTCGCGCTGACGTAACGGCCAGCTTCAACCGCCACGTGTGCCGCGTCGAAGACTCTCAGGGCACATTCGGATGGGCCGAGGAATTTCGTATACTGTTTCAGTGAGTGAGGTCATCGAGTTGGCTCATGCAGGAGAGGAATGTGGAGGAAATTCAAACAACTTGTGAATAAGAGCAAGCAAAATCGGTTGTCTCTTAATACAGAATAAAACATACTTTCAAAACCTTAAAAAGTGCCACAAAATTATTGGAATACTTTTGTCACAAAGGAGAAAATGCAGCATTCTCATAAAAGAATTAAAATGTGCTAAGGAAGTTCCCAGAAAGACGATGCTCAAGTTAGTACTAAACCTCGAAACCGAAGTGTAGTATGAATTGTTTATAAAAACAAAACTTGCAGCATCCTCAATACTTAGATGAAATAAAGAATGAAATAACCATTACACCCAGCAATTCCATTCTCGTTTCATCGTTCACTACATTACGAATAAACCAGGCAGAAACTATTGGGAGTAGCATCACTACGTGTCTACGAAAGGGCGCCAAATCGGTGCCCGGGGCGCCACATGGCTGGTGACGAATACCTTCGACGATGTGCAGCTGGTCGTCGTCCTCATCGTCATCTTCGTCGTCCTCGTCGTCGTCGTCATCCTCGTTGTCGTCCGACTCGTCGTCCTCGTTGCCGGAACCCGAGCGGCACGCCGCCGACGCGGCGCGCAACGCCTGCTGGCGCGCCAGGCTCTCCTCGTCGATGTACGAGTCGTCCACGACGGTGGGCACCGGAGAGATGCCCAGCTCCACGCACTTCTTGTAGTGAGCCTTGGACTTCATGTGCTTCGTCAGGTTGCCCTTGGTCTTGAAGCTGCGCCCGGCCACACAAACATCGCCCGTCAGGTCGGAGCTCGCCACCCCCACCCCCACCCCCTCACTCGCCGCCGCCCACAGACGATGTACGTTTCAAGTTACGCGGTCGGTCGATCTCACGGTCGATGAAACGGGTTTGCTTCACGCAGAGCGTGAGAGTAAGAGACACGTTCGCGTAAGAGAAAATTACATATCACTGCCTTTGGTTATCCACGACGATACTGAACGTGTTTAAGTGATCACTGTGGAATAATTATTGCATGTTATTGCGGCAATTATTGCCGAAATATATATGTACATACTTAAGATATTTTATATTTTATTATGAAACTAGAAATATTACGATGTACATGGTTTCCCAGTACATCGTACCAGTATTTCACAATCCATTTTTTTTATTTCATTGAGGCTGACAATTTCAGCAAAGCATAAATGCTTGAATGAATTCGCCAACCGGTCAGCAACAAGATAGTTAAAGTTTTTCTTTAATATTAATTCAAATTACTACACTTGTTTTCTGTCATAATTAGAAACATTACATTAGAAACATTTCTGCGAACTGACACGAGCACTGTTAACTTGATTTATAGCCTACCATTCTATCGATCGGCGTCGAACACACATCGTCTGTGGGATGCTTTTGTAGGATGTTTACAACTTCTAGAGAAGTTATTTCCAAAATCAACCGACAAGATATGAAACCGCGTCTCTTGGGTTGTTAAAAGTACTTTTTTGCAATAAAATATTAACCCCTAGAATCGTAAAGAAGCGTGTTAACGATCGTATTTTCACTGAAGTTATCACAATTTATTACTATCAACATCAAAATAAATGTTGTTACGTTTCTCAGCTTCAAAACAGTTTTTTTTTTACAGTTTCATAATTTTACAAGATTTTCTCATAAAGGGAAATTGATTTTTTTGTTGCAAGATCTGACAAGGTACAACCTTCTCGTTACACTCCAATAAATATTACAATCGTTCCGATATACAATTCAAAAGGAGGCTCTGGCAAATTTGGAAAAGTCACGTTCTCAGAATAGCATTAAAATGTTGCATACAGAAATTTTTATACTAAGAATTGTTATAGCACAAATTGTCAAAGAGCAAAATTCTTTATTTACCAGGAATTCCTGACCTGTTAATTACTTGAAATAATACAGCTTCATAGTAGATGTTATTCATTAACTAGCGAGGCAACTATTTTCTGCATTTCTTACTCTGAGAGATAAGTAGTATGTTCAGTAAGAATGAAATGGAAAGAAAAAGTTACTTTAGAGAAACCGTTACATGGCAGTCCGCAAAGTACGATTCAACAGTTGTATAATACGTGAAGTTAACGGAATAAAATTCTGGAATTCCTGTGAATGCTAGCCATAATAATAAAAATAAGCGAACCTCTCCCCTAATATAACTCCCAAGAGAACGAGTATATTGTTTTATGAGAATGTAGATAGAATGAGTCTCCTTTCAAATCTCCATTTTGGGGTAACCTGCTTTCGCAAACAACAGCGAGCGCGGCACGTGTGGGAAGCGCGCGGAGCCCCGTCCGGGGGTGGTCGGAGGGGCGAGTCCCGCGGGCGGCGCCGCCGACGGCAGCTCACCTGAAGTTGCAGTGCTTGCAGGTGAAGGGGCGGACATCGGTGTGCGTGCGGATGTGCTTCTTGAGCATGGAGGGCTTCTTGCAGCGGATGCCGCACTCCTCGCACACGTAGCGCCCGCGCCCTGCGACACGCACACACGCACGCGCACGCGCGCGACGTCAGGAGGAGAGGTGCGCCCCCACGCGCCGCGCCGCGCCCCGCCCCGCCCCTCCCGTCACCAATTTGCTCTCTAATGGCAGTGTCCCACAACCTACTACCCCCTTGCAGGCCAGCTTTTGCTCGTCCTTTTGAATCGGTGCGCGTTAAGAGGTGTCCTGTCTTAACATCTGGTGAGATGTCGCGACGTTACGTCTCGAGCGGTGTCCCGTCGTTACGTCTCGAGCGGTGTCCCGTCGTTACGTCTCGAGCGGTGTTCCGTCGTTACGTCTCGAGCGGTGTCCCGTCGTTACGTCTCGAGCGGTGTCACGACGTTGCGTGTCGGGCGGTGTCCCGTCGTTACGCGTCGAGCGGTGTCCCTTCGTCACGTGTCAAGCGGTGTCCCGTCGTTACGTGTCAAGCGGTGTCCCGTCGTCACGTGTTCAGCGGTGTCCCGTCGTCACGTGTCAAGCTGTGTCCCGTTGTTACGCGTCGAGCGGTGTCCCGTCGTCACGTGTCCAGCGGTGTCCCGTCGTCACGTGTCAAGTGGTGTCCCGTCGTCACGTGTCAAGTGGTGTCCCGTCGTCACGTGTCAAGCGGTGTCCCGTCGTCACGTGTTGGGAGTCGGGCGGTGTCCCGTCGTTGCGTGTCGAGCGGTGTGTCTTGTCTTACATCGAATGTCAGCTAATGTCATTGCCCTAGGTCGTCTTATTCCGCTGCCTTCGCGGCCTGTTGGCTGGACTTCGCAGCCCGCGGCCGTTCCCTCCACATACATGATCGGATCTGCGGGGCGCCGAGAACAAAATATCAACGCCCACGTTGTTTCAAAACGTACGTACTTTAGAACTTGGCTTAAAGAATTGAAGTCCGAACCACTTTGGTCCTGAAAGGTTGTAATATCTCAAGTTTAATGTTTCATTATTTATCATTATGACAACCCATTTCTGTTTGCCCATTTGTTCTTCAATGAACATGCCCTACAAGCGTGGGCTATAGCATGAAGGCAATGGAGTTAGCGTCATAGTTAGACGCAGCAACAAGAAATTGGGTATAACATTGTAAATTCACATCTCGCCAAAAGTCATCTCATGTAATAAGGCAGGATAAATGAAGGTTTGAGGTACAAGAAAAAAGGCTACGCAAATGCCGATAAAAAGCAGGAAGAAACACATTCATACACAAACTACAGAAGTTTAAGAACTTCACATTGTCGATCAGCAAATAATTATCGTTTTTCACGGTTAAGAAGATGTTTCACGAGTTTAACGAGTTTCATGATTTCACGCTTGCCAATACGCTGCTCGTCACGCTTGCCAATATCTAAAAGTGTAATAATCGTGGTTGAAAAGGAGAATGTTGTATCTACATAGGTAAACGATTTCACCTGTGTATCTCACCTGGTAATCACAGCAAAAACGCCCAAATGCACTGCGTTACCTGATCTCCAAAAGCGATCATTGATAATTCGTTTAAATTACAACTTCAAATCAAAAAATCAAAAACTTCTAACAACACTAACCAAAGTTATCATGAACGTTTACTGACGTAACGCTATTGTGAATCATCTTTGTTAAATTTAGAAAGATGATGAAATTTAGATTTAGAAAGATAAAGTAAGACAATACCGTATATTATTAAATAATTTTAAAAAAGCTCGTGCAAAATTCTAAATGAACGTTTTGATGGAATAAAAAGACACAAAACGCATTATAAGAGTGGAAAGTACTCGACGCATATGGAGAGATAGCCATGAATATCTCACACTCGTGAAAAGGAGACAGGATAAACAAAATGCCTTTTACTGCAGCTAAACGTTCACTTTTTTTTGTCTTGGTAAAAGTAACGCGTAGTTTGTTTCCACGCTCTATGATAATAATCTTGAAGTACGTTTCGTCTTACACATCGAATCAATCCGTCATTAAGATAATTACTCTTTAAATGAGAATATGTGCATTTTAAGAGGTGTGAAGGTTCGTGTCCGTAGCCTCCATGGGTTCGAAATAGTGGAACCCAAGGTGTGGGAAATGCGAGAAATGCTCGCAGGTCAGTGGCCGAACCCATTAAGAACTTACTCGAATGAAATTTATGCAACACCGTTTTTTGTTTGTATAGGTCACGAAACCTTTACCACTTACTTATATTTGGTACACGTTGTAACAATCTATACTAAAATCTTATAAATACGTCAAAAACGGTTATATTATTTTCGTACTCGTTAATACAACACGAACATTGCTCAGTTTATTCACCACATAATTCCGTAGAATACACTCGTGAGAATCGTTTCGAGCAGTCGCTAAATCCTTCGCAGCCTGGGCGCAGCGGGTGGAAAGCGCTGCATGAGACAGTCGCCGGTCGGCCGTTTCGGCGCGGCTGGCGCCGTCCGTGATGCCGCCTCCCCCCCCCCACCCTCCCCCTCCTCCTCGCGCGGGCTTAATTTACGAGAGGGCCCGCCGCATCTGCACATCTCCCCGCTGCGCTCTGCGCGAGGAGCTGTTGTTGCAGCGCGCGTAGCCAGCCAGCCAGCCGTCCGGCCCGGCCTAGCCCGGCCCAGCCCGGCCCAGCCCGGCCCGGCCCGGCATGCGTGGCACGTCCTGCACGCTCGGCGCGGAGCCGTCAAGCCCCCGCGCACGCACCTGCGTTCGCACGACGCACACTGGGCCCAAACCGACGGCCCGCAGCGCCCTGAGGTACACTAGGAAACGTTTTCAGAAAACGAGAATTAAAAGTAATTTTATTTATCTATTTATTTAATTTCAAGGTGTATATTATTTTTTCAAGGTTTGCATCAATAACAAGATTATAGCGCAGAAAGCGACTTTGCAACTTTTTTCCCTAAAAAGAATGTTATCGATCACATTTGTTTGGCACGTGAAAGAAATGCAGAAAAGAAGTGCGGTAACAAAATGTAACTTTTTATTTACGGCCTTAAGACCCTTGGCATGAGAGCGGCGGCAACAGTATTTATGTACTTTTTACACACAGCCACGGAGCAAGAGAAAAACATAAGAGAATAATGTTTCGTGAACTTGGAGTCATTTGGGTACATTGTATGGCGATGACAGGTTGCACCTGCATTCCCGAGGCGCGATCCGAGGGCCATTTTGGGCCAGTGTGTAGCAGTAAGCTGCGGTTTCGCGCCGCGCACGGGGCGAAGGCCGTCTGAATCTCGCATTAGGACGCCCCACCTCGCCCCGGCCGCGCTGATGGACTCTCCCACGCCCACGCCCACGCCCACTTGTTAGGCGCTGATTGTGAATGAAGCTGGAAATAAGCTGCGGGCACACGGTGCTTCGACGGTCGCCAGCCACCAATAGGAGGCGGTGGAGGGTCCAGACAGAAATAAACACGCGCTGGTTTGTTGGCTGGACTTAGAGTTGATTTTGATAAATTTGCACGGCTTATAGATTTGTTCAAATTATTATTTTACTAAAGTGATTATTTATACTATTATTTTACTAAGTGATAAACGGTCCAATAAAGTAAAAAAAAATCACTCTTTCCATCAGTCTAAGAGGCATTATTCATGTGGTTTCATCATTAGATTTTGCAAGTTCATTTTTGAAATACGATAGATGTTTATACCTTCCTTTTACTTTTGGCATTCGTGCATTCTTTATATTAATAATTGTATAATGATACTGAATGTTATTTATATTAATAATTAGTACATTATTTTATCAAGGAATATTTTTAAAAGGTCTATAATTTTCCTTCGTAAAATCGTCCAAATGAACATCATTTGCAATAGAATTTTTTAATAAATCCCCACAAATTAATGCGCCCAAGAACAGCTCGTGGTTATCGGTAATTCTTCTGGAAATATTGTTAATAAATCATGGCACCCTAAGCGCAATGAATTACTTTGGAGTGTGAAAATGTTAGTACCTCTATCCCCTTCCTGAAGTACCTTCGAGTTAAGAATACCCAAGGTAGTTAGTCCAATCGGATACTGTTTATGCTTGGCCACCTTCCAATTAAACATAACCGAAAAGGGTGGGAAGGTGAAAATCGCCGAAGACGCGACGAAGGTGCGTGAATGTGTAGGCAAATGCGAGTCTCGTAAGATGCAAGGTACAACTACGAGCAGGAATTCAGGTGGAAATAGATGACTTTCTTCTATTCGATACGAACGTAATTTACGTCAAAACACGAATAGAACATAAGGCAGCAAACAGAATTTGTCAATAACAGATACTATACATTTGATATACACAAAATAAAAATGTCTGTAAACGAAGAATTCCACAACACCTGCTGCATGTCGCACCATATTGCAATCCATGACATTGAAACACATTCATTGACTCATTGAAGTATGACACGTTTTCAACTCAATTCCATTGATTAGCAGAAAATCTCAATCAAGTGTTATATACTGTATCTAAACCCACAGCGAAATGACGTACTCTTTATATCATTTTATACATTACGATGATATTTGATGCGTCAATATTCAGAAAATCAATGCAAATCAGTCCGTAGACCACGTTGGCTGTTTACTGAACATGAGTTGTCAAGACATTTCTGGAGAACTAATGACAGCCAAAATCAACGAGCAGCAGATGTAGGTTAAAATACAACGCAAATGCAGAAAAAACAATGAATTATGTCACGAGTTAGATCGAGCGTGCTAAAACGAGCAATCGCGACGTCAATTGATACCAACATCATCGTGACAGTATATTCGAAAGTCACGACTTCCTTCATGAATCAGCAAAATGGTGCACTGTTGGTTTTTATTCAGATAAACCGGGCATTGCAAATCCACAACGAATCCTACTTATTGCCGTGCAACTTGTGTAACAGATACCATTCGTTAACAAACTAGAACTGTTCCTAATCCTAGCAACAATTCGTTATAAAAAAGCTAGGATAATATACTGCGAGTAGGAATGCGTTAAATGTGAAAGCATTATATAGTGAGTGTTACAATGAATAAAAACACGTTCTCTTAGAGGCAAAACTGTCGACACCTCAAAAGCAAATTACGAAGATAGCAAATTACATGTATTCTAAGAAAAGTGACTTACAGATCAATTAACTTCAAACGAAGTTCGTTAAAAGGTTCGTTGTGAGATTTTCGATAACATTAAGACCTAATTAGTTGGTATTTGCGGCGCCATAAACAACTACTAATATTCAATGGGCATTTCAGAACTCAAATCAATGGGCCTGCTTGCAGAAGTAATAGGAAATACAAGTAAGTCAAGGTCCCTGATTTACAAACGTTTCAACTACATATTACAGTTCATTTTTTCGAAATAAAAACGTCACGGACCCTAAAATCAAGCCAGATCTCAATTTCTCGTAAATAGACACATGTTTTTATTACTATTTGTTTACATCTCGACGGCGATTTTTTTAAAACATAGTACACTTCAAAAGCTACGCGTAAAAATAGTCCAACTATTCGATGCCAAATTAAGCTGTAAAAGATACAAATCGAAATACTCTAAAGATATGTTTTAAGAGTTTTCATAACCACTACTTTTACCCTTCTAATTTCTAACCATTTTATTCATCTTTGCTGTTAAGGGATTACATTTTTATGAACTTTTTCTTTTCTATTTTAGTATTTTGAAGTTGCATCACAATCCCGACAAAAATTCTAGAAAAACAATCCATTTCAAGTATTTCTTCCTTTTACATTTCCCATTCTAACATGTTTATTTGAAAACATCGAAATGATTAGCCTATAAATACTCGTAGCCATTGAATTGAACGCATCTGTAAGAAAACAAGCGGCGCGCGGCAAAAGCCACCAACAGCACCATGGCCATCTACACCAATTGCAGCAATGACGCCAACGCACCGGCGACGAAGCACTCACCTCTGCCTCGCACGTACGTGTACTCCTCGTTGGACTCGAAGCCTCCGTCGAAGATCCGCACGCGCTTGGGCGCAGACTCCCCGCTCGCCGCCGCCGCGGCCGCCGCTGCCGCCACCGCCGCCGCCGCCTGCAACAGGAGCTGCAGTGAGGGCGAGCGCATTGCGAACGCGCTCGCCCAGTGACTCGCCCGGCCACGAGCAGGCCACGCCGCGCGTTTCGCAACGCCTCGCGGACGCTGCGCTCATCTTTCCAGGGCAAAAAGGACGAGCAGGTCGAGCAACTGTTCGCGCCGATCGGATCACGTTTTCAAGGGAGAAGTGAATCGACAATCGATAAAATCCTCGAATCTAAACGAATTGCAATGCGCCTCACTAAGAAAACCCTGGCATCTCGAAGGGAAATGAAGACAAATGAATAGGTTATGAAAACGAGGAGGAAATTCCTAAAAAGACCTATTAGAAATTTCAGGCTGTCCTCCTTTCCTCTTTTTTTTTCAAGTTTCGTCGGCTGTTCGTAGTGCTGAAGAAACCTGTATTCGGTCCCAAAAAGTCGAGATTTCGGTAGTAATATTCGTTTTGTATACACATAAGGGCATGTGTATAACATGCGCACGCTAGGCGCATTAGAAGATTATAATTTTGGGGAGGATTTCATACATTTACGTCTAGCACCTAGGATTTCCAAGTTTTTCCTCAAAAATGGCTCTGAAATGAGAATGAAATGATTTTTTTTTCTTTAAAATGTTTGCTCGAATAGAGGACAGTGCATTTTTAAGTGCGATTAATGTCCAATTTTCGATGAAACATCTAATTTTTCACAATTTTCCAAAATGTTGTGTTAACGTTACTCTTCAAAGCTCAATGCAATTTCTGGAAGTCTAAAAAATGTGCTAGTGTGAACTCAAATAACGATTTTTCTGAAACGCTCAAACGACATTTTCTTGAAAACGGCTCACAATTGTTTTCTAAAAATTTCCATATGAAATGCGGTTTAACTCTTCTGGGATATTCTGAAAGCCAAATTTCACTTGAATTATAGGAAACTGTAAAATGAGAGTGGAAAAAACTTGCGTTTTTTATATGAAATACAGTATCTTAATAAAGATGTTAAAACAAAGAAAACTAAACCATCATGATAATTGAGAACATATCTAAATAAATATTTCATATTTTCGGTATGGTTAATTGATTTTGTTTATTAATGACCGCGAGGATTTGTTTTTTCTTAATGTTAAATAAACTTTTCAGAGTTTTACAAGTCAGTAAGGACAAGGAAAGTGTTGTTATACAATCCATCCCCCTCGTTTTTTGTTTAAATAATTTTGTGTTGGTGTTATATCTGAGGAAATATACTGGTAATTAAGAATTTTGCAAGGGAGAAGTCGTCAAAGAGATTGGACAACGAAATCGAACACCTTATTTTTGTTGTTTTCCTGCCGGATATATCAAAAGAATCCTGTTGAACTATGCCACTTAATTAACAAATTAAAGAGAATAATATCACATTATATTTTGCATGTACTGATGAAACGATATATTAAATTCAATTCAATTCCTTCAGATACTTTCTATGAATATTCCAGAACACCCATGTATGATGTTGGTGACACTGGGATGACGGCCGATACGAGGTGGCCCAGATTTCTAGAGGGTATTGGTTGGTAATAATGAATTCAGAGTAGTGTCAAGGCTAAGGTTAAGCTGTTCTGGAAAGATGCCCATGGAGATCATGAAGGCAATGCTCCGTAATTGCTAGGCACTCAAAAAGAAGCAACAGTGAAACTCCACACGTACTAGTCTCTAATGTAAATACATAATAAAGTTTACATTTTAAAAACATATCCAACGTGTCAATGATGCAAATATCAAACCTCATCACCCCTTGCGAATGAATGGAACGGCTGGTACTTCAACGTGTCAGTATGTTTAATATTCTAACTTTCTATTCTAACTTGCAATGTGCCTCCATAATTATAAGGTAAAAAACTCGGAATTCAAAAAAACAAAATGGAATACGAAAGGAAAAAAAATACTAAAATGAAATATGACCCCAAAAAAATGATAATTATACTTAAAACATAAACATTATTCGATAGTTTTAGTCTTTCACGAGATGTTCGATCATTGCAGTCTTCGGAAAGGTGAAAACTAGCCGTGAAGGAATATAAAACTCGAGTGACAGGACGGGAACTCAGAAACATTTGATTTTATCAATGTTCATCTTTGTTTACTTAATAATATCAATATCGTAAATTTTAGTTACAATATTCAATTGTCATCAAAACAGTAATTTCAGCGATTGTCCTTGTGTTCCTATGCTGTAAATAAAGAAGCATACGTGGAAGGTTAGTTAAAATGAAGGACTATGTGATTATCACTAACGAGGCTTTCGCCAGACACTGTATTTAAAATAACAACAAACAATGCAATGTTTAGAAAAATATGTCGGTGCATTAACCAAATTATCTATCAAATCTTCAAAGGCACGTTTTTCAAATAAAGGGGTTGCCTCGCATGAATACTTATTTCATGATAAATCATTCTTTTCCAGATATCTCTGCAAATACAGTTCATTACAAATTGTAACATCCTCAACAATTTACTATTCTTGGAATTCCCTCTTGTAATATTAAAACACAATTTAGCCCACATGTCGACCTTCACCCGACGACTGAATATATCACGCATGTCAAGCAGTATTCATAAGCACTCCTAAAGCTCCGTGAATGGAATACCTTTCCACAAATGAATGGTTCCCAACCTCACCGCAACTCTCTTCTTGTCTGATGAGCGTAGAAAATCACTGGAGAGTTTGCTGTCGAGTTTAAATAGTCTCATTCGCTTTCATATGTAGCTAAGAACGTTGACGCAGTAATGGATGCGAAACACTTTTCACCCAAGTATTATTTTCGTTTATGAAAAGCTTAACCGGTTGTACACAAAGCGTGTGTCCACTTCGCTTATCGAAATATACGTTGCATGCGATCCCCTCACCAAATTAAGACGTAGTATATTCCGTAAAAAGTTTCTCTAAGGAGGAGTTCAAATAGGTCTGAAAAAGTGTTTCAACACAATATCTAGAGATAGAATTCTCGTGTAAGAAATACAAAAAGGAAAGAAACAAAACAGAAAACGAAAATGAAGAAAAGTCTTTATGTTACGAGACATAATCTTATAAAGTAAGAATGTATCTCGTCTCACATAAGAACACTCACAGCAGATTAAGCTAAGAATGTTTATAAATGTTTATTATTTTGGGCATTATAATGTATTATTGGCAATGTCTATTTCTGTTTTGTTTATGTACTATAATTGGTATTATGCACAACATGATACACACAAATATGTCTCTTTTCAGTGCTTCACGTTTGCACTTATCCTTACTTTCACATTTGGTTTTAACACGAGCAGACCTCACTGCATGGGATGAGCTGTTCTGAACTTTTCTTAGGGTGTGATTGTTCTAAAATTGGAGGGAGGCGACTAGGTAAAAACACTGGTGAGTGCTCACCTCGCTGTGGGCGGCGTCGGCGCCCTTGGCTGCGGGCGGCGGGCTGTCGGTGACGGAGGCGGCGCGGCCCTTGGCGGCAGGCGCGGGGGCGGCGGGCGCGGCGCGGGCGGATGGCCAGGCGTGTGACGGCGCCGCCGCTGGGCCGGCTCGCCTGGCGCGCGCTGCCAGTAGGACGAGTGCGTGAGCAGCACGGGCCGGGCAGGCGGCGGCGCCGCGGCGGCGGCGCCGTGCTGAAGCGGCCGGGGGCCGGTGGCGGCGAGCCTACAGGCATGGGCGCGCGGGCTCACCCCAGGGGTTCGGGTGTCGGGCCTCGTGACACCTGCGGCCACACGACGCGGCGTGAGGGGGCGTGGGGAAGGACAACGCGCAGAGCGACGAGCGGCTGCTCAGGGGGGAACAAAGCTTTCTCTGGATTAGAACCATCAGTACCAAGGCATTTCGGCCACACCTCGGATGAATGTCTTGAGGGATGGGTGATGAGGTTGACGTGATTTGAATGATGACGGAGCAATGGTGTTATAAAACTTGGGGTGCGCAAGAGAACGCCTAGGATACCTGCCGCGAAACCACATCGCCCACCACATTTCGTAAGGATGGACCGAAATTTAAACATTGGACTCAAAAGTGGAAAATGAGGCAACTAATCACGACACAACGAATCGCTCCAGACCGGGAGAAACGGGGGGGGGAGGAGGGAAAGGTGGAAGATTCGAATGTTTCATCAAGCCACTGACTGCGATTCAGGAATTTTGCCTATCTATGATGTCCAAAGGGCAAGTCCGAAAGTAAGTTCCTCAATTTTTTGAAAACTGGTTGGAGTTTCTAGTTATTATAGAATAAATTTTTTATAACAGAATTATTCTTTCATATTTCGACTTTATTCGATAAAATACAGAGTAGAAAATGTATGTTTGGAAACTATCATTTTATTACGGTAAACGCTTAAATAAATTTAATGGGTTTTTCGGACAATTTAAAGATACCTAAATAATTCGTATTCTTTATCTTCATCAGAAATGATCCGTTCTCTACAAAAAAGAAAACTTGCGTACATACTGCCCTCTTATTACAGCTATATGTCAGATAGCTCGACAAGTGACGGTACTCTTGATTTAAAATGTCGACAGTCCAATCTCACAGATCTCAGCAAGTTTAACCTTTAGATTTAGAGGATCTATTGCTTTGTCGTCTTGATTGAGAAGGACTTTTTTTAAAGTGATTATTTAAGTATTTTCACTATGAGAATTAGTGTTCTTACACTCATCATACTCAGTCACGTTTACAATATACTATTAAGAAACACAAAAGTGAAATTATTGAACTCAATGAAACAATATTATACAATTTTGTTAAGTTTTCTAGGATAAAGTATAATTAAATATATATATATATATATATATATATATATATATAAAGTTTTTCCACAGAAATAAATTTCTTACATAATTTTCCAAAGAAAAACGACGGAGTTGATAAAAATTAAGGACTGGAACAACTCTTCCAATTAAAACAATGTTGAGGAGGAGAGAAACGGGGAGGACAAATTGGAAAATTAACACATGCAGGGTCACTTATTCGAAGAATCTGACGTCTTAACATTTTGTATGTAGGTTCAATAAAATATTCATAATAGTCAGTCAAATTAAGAAAAAAAGTAAAATTTACTCAAGATGTAAATTAAAAACAAGTAAGGTTAGGCAAATTGGAAGAAAGAACGAGGTCAATAGGAGTCTAGATGTTGGAGTCTGCACGTGATCCAAATTAGAAGATACAGTTCATAAGCATTCTATGGTCATTCTCCAAAGTGTAAATGTTTTCAATTGTGATTGTAAAGTGAAAGGTTTTGGAAATTCCTTCTCAATTTCGATCTGGTGCAGACTGTACGTATATTCATATTAGTAGCAGGAATTAACATATTTGGTTAATTACACATAAAATTCATATCAAATAACGTGCCGGTATCCGTTTTACTTATTTGAAGACTTCGGATTAAGTTTCGATTCTAAAACGATTCCAAACTGCAGTCTGAAACTTTCCAATATTTCTATTAAGTAATTTCGAAATTAATATTGATGCAATAGCTTTCAATATATCAAAGTTTTCCAGGATTCCTTTCCCGTCCAAGGCAAAATGCTGGATAATTTAAAACAAAGAAATAACGAAACATCTACTCCTTCAAAAATTGTGACATCTTTTGTTTACACCTAAGAGTCGCTTCAGGTAACGTGAACCCAGCGTAAGATTAACGAAATTATAAATAATTTTACAAAACAGAAACCGGAATCAAAACCGTTTCATTCGGTCCCGGTTCCAGAAATATATCTTATGAAGTTTTAACAGCTGTGGTTTCTCTCTCACTATTGAAACGGAGTTCAAAGGTGTCGGCTTCCATTTGAAGCCTCTGTGTTATCTTTGGCTTGAATGTACTCTCTCCTTAAGACCAATAATTGAAGAGGTTTATACAGATTATACTTTCACATAGTTCACAGTTTACTACGGATTATAATATTATAGAAGTAAAAATAATATTGTATATTACTATAAATCAAATCCAATCAGTCTACAGATTGACTACAGTATATACTTACTGATAAAACTAATCTCCGTTTAAAGAAAAGTTGTAATTGTAAGCAAAGTCAAAGACTAATAAAACAATTCGTTCATTCAGTTTCTTTTATTTTCACTTCTCTTTTCCGCGTTTCACTTTTGTTACGATAGTAGAGCAGACAATTCTTAAAATACAAATAATCGAGTAAACGCAATACGAAATGTTTGAACTCAGTTCCACTGGAACATGTTACATTTACAACATTTGTTACATGTCAATTACGACAATGTTACATTACGACAAATTGGCACCAGTATGTGATAATCGCTCTTTTGTACATCGTGGATAACATATATTGCACAAATCTGCGAACTTCACACCGGGTGATGTAAGATCAATTCACGAGCAGGTTCAAAATAATGACTCTGCGAAAAGACGCGTTACTAAACGACTGAAAAATAACGTTCACAGCAATGACCGAAGGTAGACAACCATGGAATGATCTCCCACATTAGTTTCGCATTCTATTCTTATGAATCATTTTAGTTTCGAACTTCCACCGCACCTTTCAAAGCCAATAAGAAAACCAATGCATGCACTTTGTTTACACAGAAGTAGTACACGTATAAACTATGTAATTGCGCTACGGGAAATGTACACAATAGATAGACCAAAGTAGATAAATCAATTGTTTGATTTTTGCATGCTCGTTACACAACCTGTTTACGTATTTCCGTTTCTTTCGATTTAATTATAACATTTTAAGATTATAAGTTTTTGTACGAACACAATGCTTCATGTCTGCTAATAGAGTAAATAATTATAGAAACATAAGTTCAATACGTTTCATTGTGTAATATGAAGGGCATACAATTTTTCTCCCGAAAAGTGCTCTCATTCGCTCACATTCACTCATTTTCAGTAGCAAAAAAGTCCTTTCCACCTCCAAACCATGCAACTATGTGTCCTTGAGCCGCCCTCCCCAAAGAAGCTGCCTCGCCACCTGTCGCGCCGCCCCGCGCCCCGCCACCAGCACGCACGCATCCATGCTCGCTCGCACGCACGCACGCTCCGCCGGGCGCGCACGCACCTTCCAGTTGGAGTACATGGAGAGGCTGGGGTGGTCGGGGCTCTGCAGCACGTACATGGGCTGCGGCCGGTTGAGCGTGCAGTAGAAGGTGCGCGTGGACACCTTGAGCCCCAGGTAGGTGTAGGCGTGGCCGTTGAGGTAGAGCTGGCCGTAGGACTTGCGCGGGCGCGGGGTCTCGGGCGAGACCAGCGGCACGGCCGGCGTCAGCCCCGGCCGCTTGGGGGTGAAGGTGCCCGGCTTGAGCGGCAGCGACGTCGGCCGCAGGAACTTGGCCCGCGCCCCCGCCGCCGGCGCGTCGCCGCCCCCAGCCCCATGGTGGAGGTGGTAAGTGTGGTGGTCGCCGCCGCTGCCCCGGGCCCGCCCCCACCTCGTCCGTTTGGCCGCGCCGCCGCCCTTCGCGTCGTCCTGCGCGCCGCTGTGGTGGCCAGGTTGACAGCCCTGTTGCTGCTGCGAGCGGCGTGGTGGGCGCGGCGGGTCACCTTTTGGAGAGCTTTTCTCGCCAGGGGACGCGGGCTGCGAGCGCGCAAAGCGGCGGGGGTCGGGCCGTCCGCACGGCCGCTGAACTTGTCTTGTCGGCGGGCGGCCGGGGGAGGCGGGCGCGTCACGCGGATGGCGGGCAGCGGAGAGCCTTGCGCTGTCGCGGGGCGTGGCGTGTGCGGCGGCGGGCGGCGGCGCAGGTGAAGCGGCGCGCGCGCGCCGCGTGACGCGGCTGAGGCGCCGGCGGAGGGGTGTGGCAGACGGGGCGGCGCGCGGGCAGCGAGTGCGGGCCGGTCATGCCCGGCAACGTAGGGGATGTGGCGGCCGCGTGCAGGATGGTGACGACGCCCGGGCCTGGCGCCGGCGCCCAGCAGCGCGCCCAGCGGCGCCGGGATGCCCGGCACGGACAGGTTGGGCGCGGCGATGTTGGGCACGATGGGCACCAGCAGGCGCGGCGACTCGCCCGGGCCCGTCGGCGGCGGCGACTCCGCGGGGGCGGCCGGCACCGGCTTCTGCACCTGCACCTGCGCCGCCACGCCACGCCACGCCACGCGCCCGCGGGTCAGCCAAGGGCAGGGGACGGAGGGCGGAGGGCGGAGGGCGAGGAACTCCCAGAAAGGCGCTAGGTCAGGACCCCCACTCCCTTCCCCAGAGACGGGTCCCCATCACACCCCAGTGCTAATGAGATGAGTGTTCTCAGTGAGCAGTGGCAGAAATGTTAATGAAAAGGCTCAGACATCGACCTCTCTTTTAGATGCATAGTAAGCTTTGTTTAAAAAAATATTGTGTCGTAGTTTTACATTACAAAATGTCAGGAAATGATAGAAATATATATTCAAAAAATGTACTTATTTAACTGAAACACTAACAAGAATGTTATAAACTTTGCCATGTGTTCAATAATAAGTCTTAAAAATAATTATTGTAAGCGTAATATAATTGCATATGGTAAAACAATTTTAGTCATTTAATACACAATTATGCCATATTAGATCATGTACAGTTATAAATATTTAATATGACTGTAGTAAAGTGTTAAGTTCATGATATGCTTTAACGTAAAATTTACCGTAAATTCCCGAGTTTAGTGGACAGCATTACTCCAATATTTTTTAAGCGTTTCAACACAAATATATATTCACCTGATATTTCATGAGCATTGGTTGCTTGCAAAATTTCTAACTGACCTAAACGAGCACCTACTTCTACTTCTACGAAGTAAAAGATCCCTGTGAATCGATACAGCAACCAAATTGCATTCTTGACTCAATCAACTGATCACTTTATTGTACATTTACACCGATTGAAACGACATTTAGTGAAGTAATTCGAATGACATACAATTTATATTCCAATTCATTTAAACGGGATATTTTATTTTAATTTCCAGGAAAATGTATTCAATTCCTTAATTTTCCACACACTACTTAGAGAATATAAGTTCAGAAATGTACACAGGTTCTTTGCTATTCCATAATCAAAATTGCGTATTCATTGCATGGATTCATAAGTAATATTGAATTAAATTCAAAGAAATTAATTTTATTCTGCGTAAGGTTATTTTGACTCCACAAATATTTCTATTACACAGAATACTACACAACCGAAAATTCTTCGCATTACCACATCCTCGATCGCGTTTTGACAGCTACAAATTGCGATAAACTGCGTTATGAAAAGCTTCAAATACGCAGCGGCTGACCAAACCAGATTCTCTGATTCTCTGTTTGACCACAGTGACGCAGAGAGGTAAGCAGTACAAGAACCAACTTCGCAAATTCTGGGAACTGGCAAACGTCACGAAAGCTATGTCAAGTTTTCTGGTTTCCACCGAATTATGTAAGACATTTTAGGCAACAGTCAAAGCAGGTCGATGAAACACGCAAGGTTAAAAACCACAGAATACTCATCGAAATATATGATGCACGCATATGATCGTGCATGATCTTCACGGAACTGTTTCTTAATCACACGTCTTTGAGAAACGCTAACTCTACATACAACGCCTCATTTTCGGGCGGACTAAATAGGTTTATTACTGCAAGATGTAAGTCTCCAGAAGACTAAATATTCAAATGTTTTTTTTAAATATTTAAATACAGTTGTTGAATGTCATTACTTACTCTTGAAATATATTCGTAACTACAACGGTGCACTGAGTAGTACAGATTCTTACGAAATAATGTTATATTTTGATAATAAAACGCACGTATAGCTTGATAATAGTAATACAACAATGTATGTGTACGGCGAACCAATTAAACGAACGGAAACCTCGCGTCAACCGTATACAGCAAAACCACATAACCACAAAACCACAAGTCTTGTAATGCGAATCACATATTGCACAAACGTTTACTACACTTTGATCCTGTTATAAACAACATTTAATCTTTCATATACACATTTGGAAAAATAATTTGAATGCTTGCTGGATTCCATTGGATGTATTTTAACGATGGACGCAACACCGCAATTGCTCAGAAACAGAGCAGATTTTTTTAATTGCAAAGGTTTGGTTTCGGTGACATCTTTAAGGAAATTTTTATTTTAATTGAGTTATCATTCGCAAAATTATTTTACTATCATGAATTTTTTGTACAACAGTATATAATAATTTATTTTTTATTTACTTGCTCATTGACGCCTAAGTTGAGATACCTGTTTATATTTACACATGTTATTGGTACTTGACTAACAAATTAAAATACGTGCGTATACTAGGGAGAGTATCTCGATTCAATTTTCTGAAAAGATCAAGACGGAAATGGGATTTGTGCTTCTCGTCGCTACCATAGATAGTGGATGAATTCGAAAGTTTAAAATACACCTATAATAGTAATAATAATAATAATAATAATTATTATTATTATTATAATAATACTTAATAATGATGACAACTATTCTTTTTTGGCAAATATTTAGGATATTTTGTGTACTCTTTCATATAGTTCTGTTCGATAGGACATCCTTAAAATATTGTGGACACCAAAATTTGCCTTAATAATAAACGTACTGTAGCATCTTTTATCTGACTAATAACTTTTTATCACGCGGCAGTCACACTACGCGAGGGCTGCAAAATAGACCTGAAAATGACCACCTCGCAGTTGAAAACGATTCTAACCACATTGTCAATGCACAAGAAACATGCGCAACTCAAAAATTGGTTTAAATGAGATATATGACGAAAAAAGTTTAGAAAAAATGTCCATTTTGACTGTTATTTATGTCGCGTCACAAGACAATCAGTATGTACAAAAAACGCTGTTTTTGGTGCTAAAATCAACGATTACACTCAGAATAACCATTTTCGTGCAAAATGATAATTTTTTAGGGTGCCACTTTTGTAGACACCAACGATAACTCAGGATGAGTCATTTGAGACGAAAAAACACCATGTTCCTTATAATATTAGCAATAATTAATTCCTTTGCCGTTTGGCCTACGAAGGACTGACAATTTTCCTATTTCTCCGCAGCCTATATCACCATTGTGAGCTCATTTCTAAAACTCCAAACGGTGTTGAAAAATCGGGAGGACGTAGGAACATCGACAGCACTGCAATTTTAACGGCCAGCTGTCGAGATCGGACGCGATTGCATGGGTGTGCAGATGCACCAATATACACCCTGATTCCGCTATTCATAAATGTGCGTTTATCGTAGTATGTATCACCCCAAATAAGATTTGTTTCCCTCGGCAATATTCCAGAAATATTCTCAGGACTTTACCCACAACCTTCTGGACGTCATACAAGAAGAGAAATCGTCAAGAAACAGTGCAGAAACAACGCCTTTCTCATCAAAATGATATAGAGACATCTATTGGAGGAGAACATGGTAGTGTGGGGTGTTTTCCCCATCTGAAATGACACATCCTACGCAAATCGGATATTGTACACATTCGCCAGAGTGTATAAATTGTGAAAGAGCGGGCAGCCGGCGGGGCGGGGCGGCGCGGCGCGGCGCGGGGCCTCACCTGCACGATGGTGCCGCCGGAGTGCAGGCCGGAGCGCGCGATGGTGGCGACGATGTGCGGGGAGTCGCGGGCGTCGGCGGCGGCGTCGCCGCCGCCGCACCGCCTCCGGGCACGGGGGAGGCGGCCCGCCCGCAAGCTCCCAGCAGCAGCTCGCTGGCCGCCGCCGCGCGGCCGCGGCGGCCGTCGTCCCGGGCTTGGAAGCCGCCGCCGCTCTCTGACGCCGTCCGGCCTCCGCCGCCCGCCGCGCCGCCGCCGTGGGCTGCGCTGAGCGCCGGCGACAGCGCTCGATGCGCATCTGTCTGCGTCGCCCGCGGCCGTCCAGGATCTGCACCTCTTCCCGACCGAACCGGTGCAGCGACGAGCGCGCGGCGGCCGTTGGGCAGCGGCGGCCGAGGCAACGGCGCCGGAAGACGCTGGCGCCGCGACGGCGACGCGGCTCGCGCGTCGCTCCAGGCGAATCGTAGCGGCGGCCAGCTCCCTGCGCACACATCAACCCAAATTCCTAGTAACAGACTACTACGCCGCTTGGAAACGTATCTGAAATAAGTTTGAAAATTCAATCGTAATTTAATACGCTTTTAGAATCAGCAAATCTCATGGACCAGACTTTCATACCACGTTCCACCAGATGATTTCAATGAGAATGAAGAGTTCGAAGTCATTCATGAGATTTGTAATGACAAATATGTGTAAGAATTTCTAAAAAAATCTTACAATAAAGAGGGATCTAAAAGATTTGGTTTATCTAAAGTTAAAAGGAAATTATTTTCCTCATGATTGTTATCTCCAGGATGATACCAAAGTGATCTTTCCGTCAACCTCAAAAGGAATTGGAGCACATGCGATTTAAAATGGATGACCTAGGTGTCTGCAACAATGTTGATTCATTAATGGAGTCGCACAACAATGACTGCGGGGTGTAGGATGATGGGATGCAATACGACATTGAAAATACACATGTGAACTTCCATTTTAATTCCTTCCTGAAAACGCCGGCGAAACTGGTGAGCGACGAAGATAGAAACGTTTTCACACGGACATCGCTGAAATGGAAAATGGGGGAAAAGATCTCCAAATGTATTGGCAGACTATACTAAGTTGGACCTTCAGGAGGTGATTCTTGAGCGAAATGCAGCCCAAAATCTAATTCACATTCCTTTTAGGTATTAAAATATTATCTGCTAAGATATAAGGCATAATTGCCACAAATGTTGATCATGGGTGATGGAATTCAGTAGGACTTGACATACACAAACAAAGTATTGACAAAAAAAATGTTTCGCAACCATTCTTACACCATTCAAAAAAAGCGAATTAAGTTTTATCTCAAAGATCTGTCGCGGAATAAGACTGTAAAATAGCATCATAAGAAGTCACACAAAAAAATAACGCTTCATATTTATTGACAATACCTAGTAACTTCATCCAAGAAAGAAAATGTAGGACCTCAAAATATAAAGATGATACTGATAGAACAAAGGTTGCTGCAAATTTATCGTTTTTTATTATAAACATTTTTTCAGATTTTCAAAGTTCAGTTTACACTCTGCAATCGTATTGTTGACTTAAAAAAACGTAATCCTAATAACTTAATTCTAAAAATCCATTTGAATAGATTCATACATTTTCATTACGTCAATATAGAGATTATTGAATGATGTTAAATCGAAAAAATATAATTATATATATATATATATATATATATATATATATATATATATCGATTATTATCTGGTTTTTCTGCAACCCAAGCGCGAGACGCCACAGTTCTAAAGAATATTTCATTAATAATTTCTCATAATTACACTACTCCCTAGGCGTATATTGTGTTTCACTCATTCTTGCAGAATCGTCCCATTTGTCCGAGTCCCATTTTCATTCCTCATGATAAATTTTGCAACCTCTTTCCTATTGATTAAATATTTGTTAGAGCTTAAATCCCGTTGGATATTTTCTTCCTGCATCGAACTAATCGTGATAGAATAATCTCGATCTTCGATCTGAACTGGCCTCCTCGCGCGATACTCCAGAGGTACGAGAGGGGCACGCTCATCCACCGGAATTCAATTTATCTCTGCGTAATCGATAAGATACCAGACCCGGACGAGTCCGCAACTTAAAGTTGTAAATTGGATGGTCAAACGTTCGGACCCAGGCCGAGGAGGATTTTCGATACCAGCCAGCAAGTATACGCTGCACAAAACTTTCTCGTGGTTGACGCCAACGTGGGTTCATAGTGACACGCAACATACTGGGATTTATTTAACCGTGCACTTGAGGTAAATCAACTGTTCACGGTTTCGTCCAAGCGGGAGCTTGAACGTTTCCGTAGTGACATCGCTGTAGGACATAAGCTACCAGCTTGGCGCTCCTGCCATGCATTTATGACATCCAACATCAAAATTTCGCTTCATTAAAAGTTTCCCAGCAGTACCAATATCGAACTGAGAAAATAGTCAGTATAGACCTGAAATCTAGTAATCGCTTTAGGGGGGTCGTTTGCTGGGTCGGATGATGTCGCTTTTTCCACAGCTATTCTTCAGGGCGGCAGTGTCTGGCGGGTCGCCTCCATGACTCGCCCGGTCAATTCACAGCGGAAACAGAGCAGTACTACAGACCGTCCGGGATCTTTCTTCCCCCCCCCTGTTGCCACCACTCTCACCCAAAGCAACAAGCGATAGGCCTATCTCCTATCGCCTCTTGGACCATCCCCCCAATGTCTCGGACTACTCCGATTTCGCAGTTATCAACCCACGTCGTGAAGTGGAGCTTAGAGCCATTGAAAGAAGCGATAAGGTTGCTGTCGCCAATCGTCAAACGCGCGTCCGAAATCCACGAGCCATTCCTCGCCATTCAGCGATTCGTGTTACCTCGACCGGGCGTCTCAGGGCCACCGCTCCTCGTGGCGGTGTTTCTGAACGCAGCCGCCCACCTCGCGCGTGACGACGGCGGCGCCGCGCTCCAGCTGAACGTCCTTGCGTACGTTCGCGCCCCCTTCCCGCCCCCCTCAAGCGCCCGCCCACCCGCTGTCTGTTCGCCACCACCCACGCGCCGCCAGTTCACAAAAGGCGGAGATCAAACGCCCAGCGTGAAACATTCCTTCTATAAATATAGCGGAGATCCAAAACATTAAACGTATACAAATGAGGTAATAAAGAAGCATTGGCGAAAACCTGGATGCTCGAGGTGGCTAGATCGTGTGCCGACTCAGCGCCTCGGTCGGAAGGGTCGCGGATTCGAGTTCCCGCCGTGGGCATGGTTGTTTGTCCCTTGTCTTTCACGCGCTCCCGCGTTTGTGTGTGTGTGTGTGTGTGTTTTGTTGTTGTCGCGGAAGGTTCCCAGAGCGGATAATCGAAAAGACATTCCCTGAAGCTGGAAAAATCCCTCAGAAGAAAAAAAAATCATTGCCAGAGCCAATATTTAAGCGGCGAGAGGTAGTTTTAAGTTATTGTCTCGTACAGGTTAGGAACACGATGAGTTGATCCATAATAATGAAACTTACACACGAAATAAAGAACAGTTTAAACTATTTTAAAGAGACGACTTTCATTATTTACGCGTTCCAGTCAAGGTAAAGACAAATTTTCTAAACTAAAAACCAGAGTATATTCGGGAAATATACTACACTGGAAATTTCGTGAATATTTGACTAGCTTCAGTAGCATGTTATTTATTTCCTATTTCTTCGTCTGGATCATTCTTCTTGTTCGTGTTGCCTTCTATAGTTGCCTTTAAGGCCTTTATAGCCTATTTAGCCTTTTTATCGTTCTGCAAAATGCAAATTTTTAGCTGTGTCACTTGTGAACCGACAAAGTTCTTTGGTTGTCTTCGTGATTTTAAATAAATTTATTTAAATCATCGTCATCCTATGGCCTTCTAAACAACAATCCTTACACCATAACCCAGTAACCTGCGTGCGTCCGACCATCCCGTCCGTCCAATCGTCGGCCTGTCACTCACAATTAGACCCCTTCCGTTTCGCCAACCATGACAAATGAGGTTCATTACATGTGTTTCGGTCTGTTGGTGGGAACTGATGATTTTTTATTATATTTGTTTTAACACGATTTTCACACGCAACTTTATTGTTAAAATGTTTCTTTTTAACACGAACTTGCATGGCACGCAAAACTTGTCAATATGGAAGTACCCGCCGCCGGAGGCGCTAGGCTAAGCTAGTAAGCAACCGTCAGAGCAGACTGCTGATCGCGCGGTCACGTGCTGCGACAGCGCCCGGTCGCCTAATGACCGGCCCAGCGCGGGGCGTGGGCGGCGGAGTCCGCGGCCGCGACCGGCCGTCAGCCTGTCGGATGCCGCGCGTGAGCCGCGCTAATGGATGATGACACGTTACCTCGCTGACAAATTAGATTAATGACGAGCAGTGCTTGCGCCCGGTACATTATCCTCGTTATCGTTCCCCAATCATAACCGGCTTTTTTTTTTTTTTTTTTCACTGTCACTAGTGGAGCGGTCCGGCGCTTAATGATGTTCATTAATTCGCTTTTTTCTGTCCGGGCGGTTTCTAAGCAAATCATCCAACCTATGCAAAATGAAGCGCACTGTTCAATAGAGAGGAAATTTCGCAGTTGAATGTACGTTCTGTTTTAACTACAAACTCTAACACTTCTTAGAAAAATGTGATTGAAAATGCATTAGAAAAACTGTGAATATAATGGAAATACGAGCGTTTTTCTAATTATCCCACATACCAACATTACGATTTATAGAACGGTGGTAGCAGTTTCTCTTCATTAAAACAATACTAAAATAGAAAAACGCTCAGCGGAATGACATATTACCACGTAACATAATCGTTAATATTCAGAGTATAACTAGTTCACCACCTCTTTTTTTCAGAAGTTCCTATTTACTTTTCAAATGTAATAAATGAAGTTAATTATCTTACCCAAACATTTGTTTCACTCGTATATCATTAATGAATAATTTATGTCTTAAAACATACTTAGTGAACGATTTACAATGAAAAGTTAATTGTAATTTCGTTACTCAGAATTACAGTAAAATACCATCTCGAAACTACCATGAATGAAAAGATAGCCTTGATGAACACGAAAAAGATCAGGTTGCAAAACTCACGAATCAGTCTCGTCTGTTAAACGGCGTTTTCCGGAGGCTTAATTATATTCTGTAAAAGAGTTTACATAATCAAACCGGGACGTAATTCTAGGAAGAGCGGTTATTACATTGCGTTTGAAAATGAGTAGTCTGCGCTGTTTCATCTTTCTGCGAACGTAGCGCTGAAGAATCGCGGCGGAAATGAACACCAAAACATAGGAGCTTCCTGCCACGCCCTCGCCATAGTAC